GAGCCAATTTTGGCTACTTTTATAAGATTTTTTTTTTTTTCTCTCAGTGCTTACGTTCTTTATACAGGGGTATCAGGGATATTATCCTTTTATCTATGATGTGTGCAGAAAAATTTCTTCTGGTTTATCATGTGTGTTTTTTTATTGTAGTAAAATATATAGAACATAAAATTTATCATCTTAATCATTTTTAAGTGTCTGGTTCTGTGGCATTAAAGGATAGTCACCATCCATCTCCAGAACTTGGTTCTCATCCCAAACTGAAGCCCCCTGCCCATGACACAATAACTCCTCACTCCTCCCAAGCCCCTGGCAACCACCCTTCTCCTTTCTGTCTCTGTGAGTCTCCCTACCCTAGGAGCCTCAGATAAGTGAAATTACACAACATTTGCCTTTTTGTGTCTGGCTCATTTCACTTAGTGCAATGTCTTCAAGATTCGTCCATGTTAAGAGTTTTATTCCCGTTGGGGGCTGAACTATTTCATTGTTTGAATATACCACATATTATCTATTTACTTGATGGTGGACACTTGGACTGCTTCCATTTTTTACAACTATCTGTCCTTTCAATTCCTTGCTTTCAATTCTTTTAGATATATACTCAGAAATTTGCTGGAGCATATATAGTAATTCTCTGTTTCATTTTTGGAGGAACTGCTGTACCATTCTCCACAGCAGCTGCTTAATGTTACATTCCCATCAACCAGGCACAAAAGTTTCCATTTTCCACATCCTTGTTAACACTTGTTATTTTCTATTTTTTAAAAATGTTTTATACAGTGGCTATCCTCATGGGACAAAGTGGTGTCTTCCTGAGTGTTTTGTTTTATTTTCATAATTCGCACGGGAGGCAGACTCCAGTTTATCCTTATGAACGCCAGTTGTTCTCCCGGGATCCAGGTGAACCTTGCAGGCTTCTACTCTGTTTACTTTGTCACATCTCACCTTTCTTCTGACCGCCAGGTCTGCAAAGCACAGTGACCTTAGGCCTGCCCTTGTGCATAATGGAAATAGACTTCTATAACCTTCCCCACTCACCTTCCCTTGCCTAAACATTGTACAATGTTTAATCCCTACCGTACCTGCCTTATTCCGTATCAATAATAATACTTACCTTCTCTGATTAAATCCTAACTGATATATAATTGATATACATTCATTGGGAGTTGGGGTTTTTGCTATAAATGTCCCTCTATATCTCATTTAACACTTTATGGCCTATTCCGCTTTATTTGATACAGGATCATAGCTCCTGCTTTTTTGGAGTTGGGTTTTCCTTTATGATCACCTTTGAAAATCTTTTCTTTTAAAAAGCAAATTAAGCCTATTTGTAAATTGATATGGCAAATATGTGTTGTGCTATACTTAATGTGTTTCTTTTATTATTTGTTGCGGGAAGACAAGGCCTAATGGAATAAAGAGAACCCAAACACCATGTTTATGAGAGGAAGGGTTTTATTTCAGCCAGCCAAGCAAACAGCATAGAAGAATTCAAAATGACAGCACTCCCCGACTGGCTCTATCTTTTCCTTTTAATTTCCAGTCAAAAAGTTCCAACCCACAGGTACCTTTTTCCTTCGTCAGTTTGAATCAAGTGGGAGATGCTGTTCCAGCCCCCACAGAACTACAAGACTTCACAGAAGTGGAAATTTCCAGGTCCTGGGAAGTTAAGGTTACAAGTTCCTAAGAGCTGAGTCACCATGGAGAGACCCTGCAGGTATATCCTTGGGGTGTCCCTGAGAAGACCTGTTCTCCTAGACCTCACCCTTCCTGGGTTTCCTTTCTCAATTTGGTGGTGTATTCTTTGCTATTTTTAGAACTTTTCTTTTAGGGCTTTGGAGCAGGGTTTCCAATATTTGGGAATATTTTTATTTTATTTTAGTGGTTAGGTTTTTATTTATATTTTTATATGACCTTTAGTTCATTTTTGTTGTTGTTTGTAGCATGTTAATGCCTGGTCTGTGAGTTTCATATGGTACTTTCCCTCTCGTCTACTACCGATGTAACAGTCGCTGATGTGATGCCACTTCCCTTTGCCCTCTCCCTTCCCTTCATTTGTTTCCCTTGCTCTGTGTCATTAGAAAGTATGGTGTGGGCAGTGCCCGCAGCTCAGTGGGTTGGGCACCAGCCACATACACCGAGCTGGCAGGTTTAAGCCTGGCCCGGGCCAGCTAAAACAACAATGGCAACTGAACAACAACAAAAAATAGCCGAGCACTGTGGTGGGCAGCTATAGTCCCCGCTACTCGGGAGGCTGAGGTAAGGCAATCGTGTAAGCCCAAGAGTTTGAGGTTGTTATGAACTGTGATGCCACAGCACTCTACCCAGGGCCATAGCTTGAGACTCTGTCTTAAAAATAAATAAATAAATAAATAAAATTAAAAAGAAAGTTTGGTGTGTATACGCTGATCTGCCTGTTGAAAGGATGGAATGCTCTCCATTAGTCATTTTTCTGGCTTTCTTAGTTATCTCTTGTTTGGAGGAAGCTCATTGTTTAAGATTCCCAAAGAAAGGCCTGTGTATATGGTGTTCTCAATTTTTGTGCTTAGTTCACATCAGTTTACAAAGGCTAGGTATAAAAATCCTTGGCTGGTACTTTCTTGTCCTGAGTTTCTTATGAATGCTGCTCTATTGTTACACTGCTGTTTATGTTGCTCTGAATGCCATTTCATTAGGTCTGACGCCAGCCTAAATTTTATCTCTGTAAATAATTTGACCTGTTTTGCAATTAAAATCTAGTAATTTTTATTAAGATGTATTTTGGAGTGGATTATTCTATAACATTTTTTTCCACGATACATTTGATATAAGATTTAATTTTCTTTACTCATGGCTTATTTCTTGGAGTTTTAATTTCGTTTGGATTTCTGCTTTGGTGACTCCAGTTTGGGTATTTTGGCCCTTCTTTCCTGGCTTTCATTTCAATCATTTCAATCATTTCTCTCTGAATCCTTTATGTCTTTATCTTATTTTCAATTTCTTGGTTGTTTTGTTGCTGTTCTTCAATGTCCTTTTATGTATTCTCCCTTGGGAACCTTGTAATTATTCTTTGTTTCTGGGACAAATTTTTGCTTCTTTTCAATTTTTTTCCTGAACTCAACCAAGTCTTATTAACATTTCATTTTTGGGTCTGATCTGTTCTTAGTTTTGAATTGCTTATTCATGTGTATGGGTGTGTGTATGACCAAACACACGATGCTTCACGCAGTTTCATGTATGATACTACAATTTTCTTCTTTCTGCTTCATGGTTTTTTGTTGCGGTGGGTTTCATCAGCCAAATTGTTGTGATTCACTTTTTCATCTTTGGAAAAGTGATTTTCTGTTTTCTTTGTATTGAGTTGATTTGATGTTTTTCTGTTAGTAGGTGTTTTGAGGCAGGATTCCCAGTTCAACAATGAAGTGCAGTTTTTAATAGATAACATTGGTCTCTGGGAGAAGGGTTATCTGTCTTCTTCTTTATTTCTACAGACATGTAATTTTTCTTTCGGACTCCTTCTGTCCCTTCACTGGCAGGCCTTCCAAGGCCACTACCTTTTTTTTATTTATCTGACTTTTCCCAGAAGCAAAGCTTCTTCAAGGCTGCTACCTCTGTCCCATTTTCTTTCAAATCTTTCCTTGATCAATAAAGTTCTCAAGCTGTGTTCAGTTTTTAGTCCGCAGTGTTAGACTCTGTCTTTTAGAGGTGAGAAGCCTGGGCAAGAGTGGTGGGAGCTCCACCAGAATTTGATGTCTTTTTTCCCCTTTTTCTTCTACTGAAGTAATTCAGAGTTCAGTTCACGGCTTCCTTGGTAATGCTGACAGTTTGTTGTGTTTTTGTTTTGTCGAGGGTGTGGACAGAGATTTACATTCAAACAGCTGCCATTATCCTCTAGGAAGATCCCTAAAACATTTAATATATCAAGTATTAAGTAACATTTCTTAGGAACTCTGGAAACTTTGCATGTTACAAGGGCATCACCAAGGTTACACAGGTTCTGTTACAAGAGAGATGTTTTCTTGTATCGAGATGCTTTGTATACTGAAACAAACTATGGAACAAGAAGAGATTTAATGAATATATATCGGTTCCTTCTTCCTCATTCCATGTTTATTTAAAACAGCAACACCTCTGCTATTAGGAGCTCTGTTTATCCCCAGAAACTTCCTTTGAAAATTGTCTTCTCAGTTTCTATCTCAAGGCCCCGCCTCTGTCTAAATAAATAAATTGACAGCAGGGGGTAAGAGACGTTTTGTTGTAAGATTAGTAACAAAACTGTATCAAAGTCAAGTCCAAGAGGGGAGTTTACATCAAAAAGGTCAAGTCAGGAGACTAATAAGAGCTACCTTGTTCAGGGTATGAAGTGATCCCAAAGACCAAGGACTGCAGAGGTGACAGACAACCTGGGCAAGAGAGAAAAACCCCAACAAGGGCAGGGAACCCAGCACCCCTGGGCGTGCGTACGCGCGCTCCTCCCGGGTCCCGGGCCGCCACCTGCCACTCACGGGGCTGGGGGAGGGGCGGGCGCGCCAGGCGCTCTCAGGGGAGGCCCTCCCGCGGGAGCCCGGCGCGCCGCAGCCATGGAGACGCAGCTGTCCCCTCCCGCGGCCCGCGGCCCGGCCCCCGCAGCCGCCGCCGATTGGTCGCCCTTTGCTCCCTGACCCCCTCGCCGCCTCCGGGGCCGCCGCTTCCTGCTCCGGCGCCGCGCGGCGCTCCGGCCCGGGGGGGAGTTGGGCGCCCAGCGCGCGCCCCCGCGGCCGAGCAGCAGCCCCGCGCGGGAGGAGGAGCCGCCGCCGCGCCCTTCCCCTTCCTCCGCTCCTCCCCCGGCCCCCTCGGTGCCCGCGGCCGGCCCAGGCAGCACTCGCAGGCAGCGGCGGCCGCGGCCGGCGGCCGGGTTGGGAGAATGCGGCGGCGCTCGCGGATGCTGCTGTGCTTCGCCCTCCTGTGGGTGTTGGGCATCGCCTACTACATGTACTTAGGGGGCGGCTCCGCGCTGGCCGGGGGCGCTGGGGCCGGCGCCGGCAGAAAGGTGAGTGCGGCGCCCTGCCCAGTCCGGCCCGGCCCGGCCCCTGCGTCCGCTCCACACGCGCCCCCTGCCCCGACCCCCGCTCGGCCCCCGCCCCGGGCCTGGTAGCCCCTCTGTTTCCGCCGGCTTCGGAGAGCGCGGCCCGGCGCAGCCTTCTCCCCCACCCCCCACCCCGTGGACGTCGCCCTTCTCTTTGCTCCTCGTAATTCGGATCCTGTCTGGCCTCGGGGGGGTCCCATCCCCTGCGGTTGGAAGTTTCAGGATGGGGGTGTTGGGAAACACAAAGGGGGTGCGGAGGTGAGGAGAGGCAGCCGCCTTTCTGGGGAGTCGTGTGTATTAGCAGAGGAGTCCAAGTTTCTCTTCAGCTTGCGATGCAAGCGGCTGCAAAGCCTCACCCTATTCCCCCTAGTCACTCCGCGGGGTGTGGGTTCCAGGCTTCTGCCACCTTATCTGCTCTTTAGGGGGCGGGGGCGCAGCCCCTCCTGTGCGGAATAAAACCCTGGACCGGTGTAAACCCGAGGCCACTGCGCCCCTTTGCCCCCGAGCGAGGCCGTTCCCGGCCCTCCCGCGCGGGCCCGACGTGGCCTCCGGGGCGGCCTTTCACGTCCCACTCCTGGTTACGCGGATGGAGCCCTCTCCTATCGGTGGGTTTTCCCGCATGTTCCCAGAGAGCTCCAGGGGCCAAGGGATTAGGCTGTGGAGATCGTGTGAGCCACTCCGCGGTTCCACGTCCTCGTCCCGCAGCCCGGACTGCCCGGCCCTGGGTGTTCTGGAGGAAATTGAGCGCCTAGAGGTACCCAGACGGCGCGGTTCTGCAGCTGCGCGCCGCCCGGGCGCGTGCACATGTCGGCCGGAGGGGTTTGTGGTGTTTTACTGGCTAATCGTCTTTGAAAGCAGCGCTGTGTTTTCCAAAATCATGTCCTTCTCATTCCTGTGACGTTTAGTGTCACCGCAAACCCAGAAAATTCTGAGTGGATCAAAGTGGAACACGAGTTAGGCTGGAACAAGGGAATTGTATACTGGAGCACACGAACGGGGCTGCCTGGATGGACAGACGTAAGCCCTGAAGTCAGACCCTAAATGTCGGCGCTGGGATGTGTCTGCTTTCGAGGTTCCCTTCCTGGCTTCATTCACTTGTTCATTCATTCTCAGCTGAACGTATAGGTGGAGTAGAAGTCTCACTGGCCTTCTGGGATAGTTCACGTGAAAAGTCTTTTCCTGTGGTGGATTGGCCCAGCTTACATCTGAGCTGGCTTGGGACTCTTAGCTAGCCATGTTTTCTTTTAGTTATGTGCACACGTGAAGACCCTGCAGCCAGTGGAAGTGGTACAGTCCTTTGAAGACTATGGTGGTGTTTAACTGGGATGATTTTTAAAACTTTGCTTCCTAATGAACTGTGCCTTGGCTACTCCACATAGCCTGGTGTACCGGTGAGACCTGGCAAAGTTTTTTGCCTTTTATGCAAAGAGAAGGAAATAGGCAAATCACCCTTGATGTTTCCCTTTCCAGTTGTTGGGTACTTTCAAGGGTTTCCCTGCTGACAGGTCTTCACACACCTCGGTGGTGTGATTCTTAATTGACAAAAATCCAAGAATTCCTTGTGGCCTAGTGGCTGTATAGAAAGGTACAGAGACCATAGAAAAACTTGGGGGAAAAACTTGGGGGAAATGAATAATTATACATGAATTGGCAATTTAGGATTCTATTTTTTCTGTCAATGAACCATAAAATTTAATCCTAGTCCTTAGAGTGATTTACTGATTTGTCAGCTGAGGAAGAGGTACAGAAATGCGATGGCTTTTGAAATCGCAGTGAGGGACTTACTAACTTAGTGTGCCGACACTGATGTAAAAGGACAGCCTAAGACAGCTTCTGGAGGGCTGAGTTGCTGCTGTGAGCTTCTGATCTATAGAAAAATTGTGTATTTCTGCTCTCTTGAATTGTTACAGTGGATTTAGACATTAGAAGCCTCTCCAAATTTAGTTCATCCTCCTGATAAAATAAAATTTGTGGCTGACTTGTTTAGCCTTTAAAGTATGGTCGTGAAAAACAATGTGCCCAGCGTAGGGAAGTGGAATTTAAATACTAGCTATGGAGTTTTTTCCCCAGAGGTAGATGGGTTTCTATTTCTTTTATTTTATGCTATTCAAGTCAGGTCTCTCATTCCATATTTAGCCAATTTCTCCACGTCCTGACTTTTTTCACAGGGTACCAGGCTGCAGTATTAAGCTTTGGGAATTGTCTGAGGGGAGTGCAACCAGGATTTCTGCTGTTTCAGCAGCCCAACCTGGGCTTGTCATTGTGTGCCCTGCCTGTTCAATAACTCCTCATAGAACTGTTCTCCATTTGGCAAAACCCAGAAAGCCAGCAGATTTACTAAACTAAGCAGGAGTGAGTGCTGAAAACCAAGTCTAGGCCTTGCCTCAATTCAATGCTGAGGTTCAGGATATGTGTGTTAAAGCAATTTATGCATAATATTGTTTAAAATTACATTTCATTTACATTTCTGTGGATAGCTCCCCTCCCCCATATTTTGCTCTTTCCCCCTAAATTGATGATTTGCACTTCAAGAATGGCTATTCTTTGAGCATCTTAAATGCTTTAAATTTTAATCATGTTAAATCTCCCTTGGGCCCTGGTATGTTGGCAGTGGATGGAGCCTCAGAAAAGAGGAAGGCATTTCTGTGGAAATGAAGCTGCCTCTGGGTGAAGTGTGGCTGTGTAGGATGGGAAGGGAAGGGTTTTCCAGTATGTGAGGAATGGTCTCTGTTGCAAGAGTGTGGAACCAAGACCTAAGACCTTCTGCCTGTGCTCCCTAATGCACAGAGGTGAGGGGAGATGGAGGAAGCATGACCCTTCTTCATGAGCTGGCACAGGTACTGCATCCCTTGCTTGGGAGTCCTGGTGTGGAGGATTCTGGGTAGGATCCTGCGGGAAGCATTGGCCCAGGAGGGTGCAGGTTGCTTTTTGGAATGGTGAGGGGCCGTAGGCAGCTGGGAGTGGTACTCATGTACCACTCATGTGGTACTCAAAGCTAGTATTTAAATTCCACTTCCCTACGCTGGGCACAAATGTACATCAGGGTGTACATTTGGAGGAATTTGTAACTAAATTGTGGAGGGCTTCAAATGCTGAGCTGATTTACTCTTCCTTAATTTGGTTGATCATAGGGAACCAGTAGCGTTTTGAGAAGGTAGTAAACATCTAAGTGAAGGCAGATGGCCCAAATCCACTTCTTGGCACTAAGGCAAGAAGTCTTTCTGCTTTTTTTTGCTTAGTGACATTTACTGATTTATGGAACTTCTCTACCTCTCAGTTTGCTCATCTTTATAGGAGGGATAATCTTTCCTACCTTGTGGCATTTGGGGGAGAATTAAATACCATTAGGTGCTTATAAATTGTGGATATTAAAAAACTAGTGTGTGGGGGACCTAAATGTCCCCTTGAAAATTTAATGAACTAGGAATCTTGTTTCTTCTCAATTTCTAGAAAGTTGTTTACAGAAATGGTGCTCTAGAAAGTTTCTTTTTTGTTTTCTTTTTTTTTTTTCCTATCCCTCATCCACACTTTTGAGATTGGTTTGTTTAGAGTTCGTGCTATGAACCTTAATGCGATGAAGTTTGACTTTTTGGAAAGTCATCTGGATACGATGCCAGTTCTCCTGTACCCAGGTGTGCTGTTGGAGTCCCCGTTAGTGGGCAGTCAGTAAGAAGGCGGATGGGGGTGGAGTTTGCACTGCCTGTTGAATAATTGAAGTGTTGCTGGTGAACATGTCCCTGAGTGGGGGTTTCCTGTGGTGGGGAGATGGGCTCTGGGCTCCGGGCTCCCACTCTATGCAGCGTTGCTCCTGTTCTGAGACGGAGTGACTTTAATCACTGAGGGTGTGCACGGTTTGGGTTTCAGCGTGAGGCTGCCACACAGTGTCATGGGCATCTGCACACAGGAGCATATCTGTGGTGGGTGTGAAAGGGGGGACCCATATGCCTTGCCTCAATCTGTTTGGAATTTAAAGAAAGTCCATTTGAAATGAGAGTTTGGAGTTGAGGTAGGGAGGACAGTAGCAGAGGAAAACACTGCAACCAGAGAATCTGACAAGTGCTACTGTAATATAAACTTTTCTCTTAAAGAAAATAAAGTTTCCCTTTTCTGGAGTTATGTTGTGGCTGTCTCTGGGGGCTCAAACTTAATGGAAACAGATTGTGACTGTTACAAAAGTAATAAGTTCTTCCCTAGACCTTCTAGCAAAGAGTGAAAAAAAAGCTCCTCTGCCCAGCACTGAGTGGGGCCCGCCTGCCCAGGCTGTTTCAGACTTTGGGCTGGGGTGGGTCACCCTCGCTCTTTCTGCTGGTCCCGGAGGGCCTCCATTTGGATCAGAGGAAGAGGTGTGTGAGAGGTGATCGGAAACGACTGCAGGGCTGGAGGGAAGACATATATATATTTTCTCATTGGTACTTTTCCTGTTTCTCAGATCTTTGGGGAGAGAAAAATTTGGGAAGAGGCAAATTTCAGGGGCAAAGTGGGCAAGGTAGCCATCCTGTCTAACTTGTATCAGCAAATCCAGAGGCAGTGGGCTTAGTGGATGGGTGGGGTGGGAGTGAGGTTGCCCTGGGGAAGAGAGACAGGTGTCAGCGGGAGTGTGAGACCAAGAAAGGAGGCAGGGTATTCCTGGGAAGAGCCCGTGAAGTCTCTTGGTGGGCCCAGCAGAATTCTCGTGTTGAGAAAACAGGCAAACCTGCCAAGGTCATGCGCTCTTGTTTTTTCTGCTTTTTTCCTTATGAAGCCTGTTCTGGAAGCTGTTTGCATGGGTGATGTTGAGATGTACGGGCTACACAGATATGCAGATGGGAATGCACCCCACAGCTGTGCTACACAGATTTAATAGTGACATACTTCCATCCTGGTTGTTAAATATGCTGCCATCTTGAGACCCCTGAGGGCCCCCCACCCTAATCACCTTAGTTCTCCCTTGAGATCCCTTTCCCATGTTCAGCCCCTAAAGGGTT